ATTAAAGCATGGAGGTAAGAGGACTGCTCGCTAACACCCACTGTTCGACAGCTCTCTGTCCCATAATTCAGCCTCTGGGGGCGGGGACTTGCCGAAATATGGGACTAGGAGTTTGTTATTTCCAAACCTCCCATCCCCATAGACAATTCCCCCTCCTGCTGTAGCCCTCCCAACACCACATGAAAACCTGCTCCAGAAGGCTAGGAAACCCTCCAGAGCACATTTCTGGTATCAGTATCATCAAAGAAAGCTGCTCTAGAATCTACTTTACTCCACTTTTGTCTGACAACAAAATTGGTTCAGATGATTACAATGTTCTTGCTCTTTATGCTCTTTACACTCAGCACCACACACTAAACAATAAATGAATTCCAAACAAATCTGGAATAGCTAACAGTTTTGAAATCGCAAGTTAATTTGCAATAACACAACACATACAGAATGCACTGAGCACCTGTAGTGAAAAACACAAATTTAATCAATTGTAACACACTGTCTAAGTAGTAGCTCATAGTTGTATAATATCACAAACCAACAGACTTTGCTCTTGCGGTATCCATAGATATAAATAGGATAGATAACATCCCACAGGTAATGCTACAACATGTATTTCTGCTCAGTTGTCAGACAGGCTCTGTTAAGAAATGTTAGACAAGCTTGCCAAAATGCAAGCAGAATCTACTTTAGTCCAAGAATGGTTCAATGTATTTTCCTAAGCACTTACTTGATTTTTAGTAGGTTCAGAGACTTATTGGGAGAGGATGTAATCTCACCAGTCCTGTTTCTATTGATGTACACAGAAAATCCATTATTCCTGAAACCAAATTCTTTTGCAACCTAGAAAAAAAGGATAAGAGAGCAGATAACACCTAGAACAAAGACTATTCATCTTCAAACATTCCAAAAGACAGAGGAACTACTTGAACAGGAATAGGAATGCACCAAGTAGCTTCATTTATGACATTGTGTCACCACAGGGTTCTACTCCTCACAGGAGAGTGAATGCCAGCAGTGGGGAGACCTTTGTAAGCACTGTCGTATCTGTCAAGACTTCCACACAATTCAGAACATACTCCATTCAGGGTTCTGAACTATGTGGAAGTCTCTATGAGTATAACAATATCTGCGTACAGTAGGTGTTTCCACCATAGGTGTTTACTCTTTAAGCATGGATGCCAACAGTGGCAGTGGCAGTGGAGTGATGCATCTTCAGAAGTAGGCCTATGTGGTGCAGCTTCATCACTGCTCGCACAGAAAGCTCCTTCACCTTTCATACCTTAAGAGGGCTTATATGAAATGCTTGTGTTGATAGTTCGTGTAGATTTAATTAATTACAGAAAGTGAGATATGTAGAAATTTACGCTCAAAATATCTAGAAGGTAAAGGTTCCCCTTGACAATTTTTGTCCAGTTGTTTTCGACTCTAGGGGGTGGTGCTCATCCCCGTTTCCAAGCCATAGAGCCAGCGTTTTTGTCCAATCTTCCGTGGTCACATGGCCAGTGCGACTTAGACACGGAACGCTGTTACCTTCCCACCAAGGTGGTCCCTATTTATCTACTTGCATTTGCATGCTTTTGAACCGCTAGGTTGGTGGGAGCTGGGACAAAGCAACGGGAGCTAACTCCGTCACGTGGATTTGATCTTATGACTGCTTGGTCTTCTGACCCTGCAGCACAGGCTTCTGCGGTTTAGCCTGCAGCGCCACCATGTCCAAAATATCTAGAAGACATACAGCAAATACAGACAAGCAAAGGAAATCTCATACAAGGGGGTGGTACAATTTAAACAGCAACCTGATTTCAGTTCCTAAGAGATTAATGTTGCTGCCGTTTGACAACTCTTGTTTGTCACACTGTAAGGGGGGGGGACTGATACTCCAAATAAAGAAGCATGCAGTCAATAGTTTTAACCTGAGTAAGTAAACTGTTACTAAGATTTTTCAATTTATCACCTACACAGCTGCAAAGAAGTAGGAATTAGATTGGGAACACTGGGTGCTTAGTAACATATGCAGTAAGGCAGCAAATTACTTCATTTCAAAGAATCCCAAGCATATAAAACCCATTAGAAGTGTTTACTAGTTTGAAAGAGAGTTTTGCATGAGGAAAAATAATCACACTTTTAAGAAATTTGCTGTCAGCATAGATTCCTCTAACCAGGTCCCTTAAAAGTTTCCTCTGTTGGTAGAGATCAATGACTCTTACTTAGGCCACATTAGTACTCAGCTAAAAATTTTTTTTTGCTATGGTCCCATTCCCCACACCCTGAAACGAACCTTCAGCACAACAGGAGGAAAAGATGAGTTTCTCCTCATCTTAAAATACCTAAGGAGAATTATAGGAGTTTATACCCATTGTACCAACATTCATGAACTGAAAGACAGCAAGAAGTCCCATGGCTTTCCAAATGTCTGAAATTCAGTGCAGCATTAACAACAGCTACTGTCATTCTGCTTCTGAAAATGCCACAAGAAAGAGCCTTTTCTTCTGGCATGCAAGAAAGGGAAGGACTTGTCCCAATTTTGTGAACTCCCTCGAACAAAAAGAAACTTGCCAGTGGCAAGATAGCAAATCCATTTATGGATCCTAGATAATTAGAAAGTCTCCCATGCTTTCCAATGCATGCTGTGGTGGTGTTCTGTACACATTACTTCTGCTTTCTTTTCAGTTATGTTGCAGTTATAGGTTCCCACTTTACTGTGATTTTCCTTGTTTTATGACAGTATTATATGTGCATTTTAGTGGTGTTATCCATACTCAATTGTATAAATAAGAGTGATGATAATAACAGAAACCTATTCAAAACACTAATTCCCCTGTAATTAGTGCAGGGAAAGTGCCCCAGAAGGAGACCACAGCTGCGGTACAAGAATATCTGCAAGCAGGACCTGAGGCCTTTGGAATGGACCTCAACAGATTGGAAACTTTGACATCTGAGCATTCTACTGGAGGCATCATGGCCTCTCCCAATTTGAAGAGACATTTGTTCAGCAGGCCAAGGCAAAGAGGCAGTCCCAAAACCAGCAAAATCAGGGGACAGATTGTATTTGTCTTCAGTGCGGAAGGGATTGTCACTCTCAGACTGGCCTCAGCCACACTAGACGCTGTTCCAAGACCCATTCAGAGCATGTTACCATAGTCTCTTGAGACTGAAGGATGCCTACACAGATCCAAAACAACTCATTCACAATATGGTCCACTGAATCCAAGACTCAGTTCCTAGTATACATGCATAAGACTGTGGCTTTAGATCACATTGGTTTCACATGGCAACTTACCTAAGGGTAGGTATAAATTAGCATGTCAATTTTACATTGTTTTGCATTATGACCACCCATAACAATATCGAAACAGCAGAGAAATAACTGCAGTCCCTTATACAGTGGTGCCCCGCATAGTGAGGTTAATCCGTTCCGGATTAACCTTCGCTATGTGAAAACTTCGCTAAACGGAACGGGGAAGCCAAATGGGCACAAAACTCACCGTTTAGCGAAGTTTCCAGGGTCCAGCAGCCATTTTCGCGCCCTCGGTGAGGGGAGGGCGCGAAAACACTGTGCGCGGCCATTTTGGGCATCCGGCAGCCATTTTGAAACCGCCTAACAGCTGATCTGCGGGCATCGCAAAGCGAAGATCGGTAAGCGAAACGCTTACCAATCTTCGCTATGCGAGTTTTGCCCACTGGGGCCGACGCTATGCCTCCACATTAGCGATCCCGAAAACGGGATCGCTATGCAGATTCGTCATTATACGGTGCGCTCGTTAAGCGAGGCACCACTGTACTGCATATATACCATGTGTATTGAACCATCACTCTTCCCATCAAACACAGAAAACAGTTCCGATAGAAACAGAATCTGTGGCATGTTGGGATGAGTTAGACTTGGACAGAAATGTCAAATGCGGGTTTGTAACAAAATATGGGTTCATTTTAATTTTGAAGAAATTAGTATCCTGGCTAGTATGTGCTGAATTGCCCAGCCATTACTCCCTCTTCTAATGATGTCAAATCAACATCACAGAAAGCATCTGCACAAATTCAACCAAATCCAAAAGAGCCTTCATAGAATGGCAGTGCTCTGACAAGACAGAAGTACACTTCTGCCACTGTCCTAAGAAGACACCAAACAAATGTGCCAATTTATAATACCTTTTTCAAAAATGTTGCAGCAGTCTCCCGTTTTGTTGCTGTGATACGTTTCACTCCATCTGGGGACTGCACACGGATTATCTGTTAGGAATATTAAAAGATTTTGGAGATGGTTAGATCACAGAAATTGCCACAGTTCAAAAACTTTTGCCTCTTGAAAAAGAGAATGCTAAATACAGAGCACTATGTGAAAAGCATGAAACAAAACCAGTATGACTTCAGCCTATAAGCATTTAAATTAAAGTCATCTCAGCTTTAAAAAACTATATTCCAGAAGGTATAACACAGGACAAGTGAATTAAGAGCCAAGTATAATCCATTTTCATGTTATTGTTTTGAAAATATAAAAAGGTTAATAGGTAAATACTGGGAGTACTTGGAAGGACTTTTCATTGACCGAGCCTTGGAGTTTATACAGTAATTCTCAAACAGCAGTAATTATATATAAGCTGATCATAAACATTTGCTAGCTTCTTGTCAGTACAAAAGTACACATCACATTATACCATTAACTGTCAACACCTCTCATTCTGATAAATATGGATAGGTATCTTCAGTAAAGTGAATGAAATCCCACAGTTTCTGTGGGATACAGAACCAGAAAAGAAATGGAGAAAGGAAGACAGCTATTTACTCTGGAAAACAAAAGCTTGCGATAACCCTCCATGGAAAGGTGGGCTTAGCCTAGGATTAGTAGCTAGCAGGTCTTGCATTTCTCAGATGTACAAAAACGTCTCACACTCAGAGGTTGCTACTGCAACATAGAAGCAAGCCTACAGAAAAAAGTAAACAAATGGTAGTGGAAACAGTAACAAAAATATTACACAAATTTCATGTTACAACATCATGCCTTCAATGTCTTCAGGGAGGACAGCCCTTAACATTCTGTTCTCCCTCTCTGTGAAATGCTGCTGCATAAGCAAATGAACCAGGGTTGAATGAGCCTTTTTCGAGAAGGGCTAAGTTCTGTTTTGTTATATCACACTGTATCATTTCAAGTGGAATTTACTAAGATAAAAATAAACTGCATTTATCTAGTGGAATATTACAAAGAAATTTATGAACCTAGGAATGGATAGGTCTGTTACTGCAGTATACTTCTTTGAAGATAGACACATCAGTAAGGTTCCTTGAATTGCCTTTGTTTAGCATAAAATTTGTAGACCATGTTCTAATGTACATAGATTGTGAACTCTGCCTTAGGGGGAAAATCTATAAATAGGGGAGGGGGCATGTGAAGTTCTACACTAAGGGACAATTAAACTTGATGAACCTTCATCATAAAGGGCAGTGTAAAAGCAGGCATTCTCTTGCAAATTTGCCCTTTGTGAAATGCACTGTCACATAATGATAGCTAATCTCATTTCATTTATAAATTGTGCACATACCATAGGTTTTAAACACTGACTTTTCCATTGTAGTTCCCTAAATTTTGTTCCTATTTCTTAATTTTTTAAGGGAGGAAGAAGAAAGATAAAACAAAACAAAAAACAAAACAAAAAACAAAACAAAAAAAAACAATTTTACACCTCAGTAACTGAAAGTCCTGAACTTAACAAAATTTACTTCAGATTAAGCAAACACTGGAGCTGATTGCATGAGCAGCAATCTTGAGCAATTCTCTCTCATGATGCTCAGAAGTGCTGCCTCCACACACCACAGAATTTCACCCTGGGGTGGCAGCTGAATGACTAATCCAAAGGCCAAGTCATACCATTAACTCTAGGAACATGTCCCATGAATTCTAGTATCTTACGTAATCAGCTCATTCTTTTCCATTTTGAGATCTCATTTAAATGGATACCTAACATGTCCTACTGTCTTTATCATGGTAACACACATGAACTGACTGAAGCAGGCAAAATGTCATTAAAAAGAAAATTTAAAAAATAATTACTGCAAAGTTAAAAACAACAAAAAAGATATGAAAGAAAACTAAGACAGCTGTTTCCAGATGTAGATGGGCATACAGTTTCCTTTTGCTTCCTCAGCAGATATCTTAAAGCAGACACTATTATCCAGGAAACCTGCCAAATCAGATGTCATTGTAAGCCTGCAACAATGACATGTATTTGAAACCTTTATAATCAGTAACAGTCCCCTGTTCTTTTATATAGGTACTGACTGACAATTTTGAGAGAAGCAGCAGATAGGAGTATTTTTCCAAAATCTTTTTGCTCCAGCAGTTGTAATTTATATCCCCATATTGAAAACTATCTGAACAGATTTATTGCCAAATTACAATTACTGTACTGAACAATTTAAACATGTAAGAAATATTTTGACATGGCTCTACAAATGAACTGAATTAACAACGAAAGCTAGATCTCAGGACAAAATAGGTATGTAATGAATACTGAATGAACAGTCTACCTATTAGAGCAGCTAAACAGCAGCACTTAAATTCTGTGCAGTTGAAATTGCTGATTTCATTTCACCAAAACAAGTTAAACTAGAACTACCTGCAAGCCACATCAAAGCCTAGTTCCTGGAACTGAAGGCTGTAACTGCATGCCAAAAGTGTCCAACTAAAGCCCTGCTTCTTTTACTGGGATGTATGACTGACATCTGTTTGTTATTCCTGCCATATCTAATTAACAGCATCACAAAGATAGGATGGCAGCAAGAATTTGTTGACAGCTATGCCAAGCTAGTATATCTGCTGTTAAAATGTTTGCTGCCCAATCCTATACACAATTCCCATTCCTAATTCTTCAAACAAGGAAGCTGATAATGAAAACAGACCTGGGAGTCTTTTGTGTACTAATTATCTAGCGATTCCATAACCAACACTTTAAGTTTACTTTTTTCAGTATGGATACACCATCCAATAGTGAAAGTTCTCTATATAGTTTATGTGAAAAAAAAACAAATGCTAAAAATACACCAGAAACATAAAATCTGAAAGGAAAAAAAACTATAGACAGAGAATAACAGCCAAATAAAAGGTCTAAGAATACTTTTAAAATATTCAAGATGGAAAAGCATGCCCTTTATCTGCCGCTGAAAAGACTAACTGTCATCAGTTGGGTCCTGCAGAAGGTGTAGCACAACCTAGATGCCAACACTTAAAAGGCTTTCTCTCTAATAGTCACTGATTAGACTTGTTGCTTTCAGTTTTCCCCAACTGTGTCCTCATTACTTATGTATCATTAGGTTGCATACACTATGGGGGCTCCAGAGAGGCATATATACTCTCACTATAGAGAATTCAGCCTTTAGAAATTAGTTATTCAGTGTCTTTATTGGACATTCAGGCAATCTTGAAACTTCTCCCAGTGAGGAATTGCACTGGCAACCATATGTAAACCATTGAGCTATCCAGCTAGCTATTTCTAGTACTGTAGTGCTAAAATGAGACTAGATGCTGAAAGACAAAGTCAATACTAAAGAAAAATGGGAGAAATCCAGCTGATGTGCCAGAAACTGTAAGTCACAATTAACAGCCTTTGTGACTAGCCACCATATGTGGGTAGGAAGAGGTAAGTTAATGAAACCAGAAAAGCATACATAACTACAAGTTTATAGTTGTTTAAGTACCATAGTTTTCCTAAAAGAATATTGGGAACTTTAGTTTGATGGTATGTGGAGAATTCTTCCTGGGCAGCTCCTCCCCATTCTCATAAAGTGCCGTTCTCACGATTCCATGAGGAGAAAGCACTACTAGGAAACAACTGTTAACTCTATCATCCAGCTTTTGGCTAGAACAGAACTCCTCCACCTCAGATCAAAGTAGGGAGGGCAAGTGGTGTTTTAATTATCAGCGGATGGTGGGTGGGGTACAAGCAGCATTCAGTGCCAACTTCTCCTCTAACAGAAAGGAAAAGAGGGACCGAGGGACTGGTCGTCTGAAGACAACCTGCCCCTTATTGGTTTGCTTGTTTCTTTTGACAAAATCGCTTGCCTTTTTCCTTTCCTTCACAGAACCCGCAGAAAGAATTCAAAGGGAAATAAGTCCAGACGGCCATTGCCTCCCACCCCCACCCCACAAAAAAAGAAAATCCAGGGCAGCCCTGTCAAGCCCCAAGGGAAGGCATTCAGGAAAGGTATAAACACCCATGTGGGTGGCACCAAAGCCACGCGAGGTTAAAGAGTGAGGCGGGGGCGGGGGAGGAGAGGTGGACGCTATGGGCCGGTCGAGACTGCCCGCCTCCCTGACTATGACAAAGACCCCGAAGAGTGTTGGGGGGGGGAGAGAGAAGGCGAGAGGCGCTCGTTCACCCAGGGAACCAGAAAGGGAAGGGGACAAGGGAGCGCCTTCCTTTTCCCTCGCAGGCCTCACGAGGAAGAGAGAGCCACCCCGCAATGCCCCCGCTCCCTCCCACTCAGCCCTAACTTACAATGCTCTCCGCCATGTCCTCACAGCCGCTCCCGACCCACGTCCTGCCCCGGCTCCAGTAGCACCGCCTCCTGCCCGCCCTCTCCGTCGCCCGTGCACCGCCAATACTGCCGCGTCACCGTTCCCGCCCGGTAACGCAACGGAGGCACCAAGGTTCCGGGTAGAAACGGTCCGGCCCCAAAGAGGGCGCCTCTTGCTCTTCCCCCTCTCTTTTCTATTGGCACCGCCTAGGCTAAACTCTCGGGTTTCTCGTGTGGGTCTTTTTTTCCCCCCCTAGGTTGGGAGAGTTATTTTCTCCCAGTTTGAAAACTAGGGATTTTTTTTCCCTTTCAAAAGGAAATTTTGAAATTTCTCACGAAAAGTTTGAAAACTAGGGATTTTTTTTTCCTTTCAAAAGGAGAGTAATTTCTCACGAAACAACAGTGTCCTCCCTTTGCCGGTGTAAAGATAGGAGGAGACAGTGCTGCTTGCTTCCCAGGCTTTTTAACCTACTCATGTCGAGGGAGCAGCAAAACGGTGTGAGGAAATTAATCCAAAGTGCCCTCGAAGAAAAAGCGATTGGTTATGTTTCCCTTCCTTTCTTTGAGCTTTGCTGACAGAAAAACACTTTTCGTAAAATTGGTGGGTTGAAGCCAGTCTGCATTGATATGAAAGCTACGGAAGCTTATTAAAGGGCTGTAATTATAAGGTGGAAGAAATGGAGCTTCAGGACACCAAAATAGAGAGGGCTTATGACGAATTAAAGGCACTAGTTTTAAAGAAGTCAGATTTTTACTGTAAGGGACTAGTACAGCTACTTTTCCAGGGAAAACTATTTCAGCGGCTCACTTTATTGTTGCTGTTTAGTCGTTAAGTCGTAACCTACTCTTTGTGACCCCATGTACCAGAGCACGCCAGGCCCTCCTGTCTTCCACTGCCTCCTGAAGTTTGGTTGAATTCATGTTGGTAG